AAAAAAAAAAAAAAAAAAAAAAAAAAAAAAAAAAAAAAAAAAAAAAAAAAAAAAAAAAGAAGTCACCGAAATTACTTTGAAAAATAAAGAGAAGAAAACAAACAAAAATAACATTTTGTTTGGAAGCTGCTCTGGGTCATCTCCATATATAGTCATGTGTTACTTAACAACAAGGATACATTCTGAGAAATGCATCATTAGCCAGTTTCATAATTATTCGAACATCTTAGAGCATACTTATGCAAATCTAGAGTTATAGCCCATGACACATCCAGGGTATACAGTGTGTCCTATTACTCTTAGGCTACAAACTTGTTCAGCGTGTTTCTGTACTTAATACTGTAGGCAATTGTAGCACAATGGTAAGTATTTGTATATCTAAACATATCTAAACATAGAAAAGGTACAGTAAAAGTACAGTATTATAATCTTACAGGATCACCATTGTGTAATGATATACACCATTGATATACACGATTATACACCATTGTGTAATGTAGTCCATCATTGACTGAAACATCGTTATGTGGCTCATGACCGTATTCCCTTTAGAAGCTATCCAATATCCTCTTCTCAGCTTTTAGTTTATGACTTCTGCTCTGCACTCTTTTCCAGACCATGGAACATCGCTTCCTTCCATCTGATCTATTTTACCCAAACAGTTTTCTTTGACATTACTTCTGGGACCAGATCCATGAACAAATTCAAAGATTGTTCTCATTCCCCTTTCCTTGACTCCTGTTCACATAGCACTGTGGACTGTACCTTCTTCATTCTTGAGACTTTTCTCTTTTGACTTCCAAGACGTTGTCCTTTTCTACTTTCTTTATTACTCTTATATAGGTCCTTCTGTGTTTTCTCCCAGGTTTCCCTTCCCCTCCACCATTCCCAAATCTGAGTATTCCAGAAGAGTTATTTGTTTTAATGATATAGTAAATTAATTCCTTTTTCTTTTTTTTTTTTTTTTGAGACAGAGTCTTACTCTGGCACCCAGGCTAGAGTGCAGTGGTGTGATCTCAGCTCACTGCAACCTCCACCTCCCGGGTTCAAGTGTTTCTCCTGCCTCAGCCTCCTGAGTAGCTGGGATTATAGGCACACATTACCATGCCTGGGTAATTTTTCTGTTTTTAGTAGAGATGGGGTTTCACCATGTTGGTCAGGCTGGTCTTGAAGTCTTGACTTCATGATGTGCTCACCTTGGCCTCCAAAAGTGCTAGGATTACAGGCATGGCACCCAGCCGATAAATTAATTTCTAAGCCTCAATTTTCTAACTTGAAGAAAGGGATTAAAATGAATACCTACCTATTGTTATGAAAATAAATGTGTTACATAAAGCAATCTGCAAAATAGTAAGTATATACTCAAAAAACTGTTAGCCATTATTATCACTACCATTGTTATTTTTGTTTTCAACCAACACTGATATGCTGAACTCCTGTTGTTTATGGCACAGGTTTAGTAAAAATTAATTACTATATATGTGCATATATATATTTATATATATATATATGCATGATTGTAACATATATATATATGTTACAACCACTCCACCTTACCATGTGCTTATATATATAGATATCTAGATAGATAGATAGATAGATAGATAGATAGATAGATATGCACATGGTAAAGTGGAGTGGTTGCAACAAGACCACAAGCTGCCTGAAGGGGCAGCCCACCCTAGGCCCTTTCCTAACTGAACTAGATTCCGAAACAACAATACCTCTGGTGAGTGGGAGGGCCCAGTCCATCCCCCAGGCTGTATCCTTGTGCATCAGTCCTCTTGCTTCCCTCAGGCTCTACTTCTGTTTCCTATAAGCACAGGCAGAGTTGAGATCAGTCATGGGACCCTGCCAGGGATGATGGGGATTGAGAGCAGCCAAAGACCCTACAGGGGCCCATGCAGCAGCCCACAGCTCTGCAAAGAGAAACTAAACTGGTGAATTACCATGAGCTCCAGCCCCGGGTTCTCTGTGCCAGTCTCCACTGTGGACGGAGCAATGGACTCTCTTACACTTGCTTTCTCCATCTCCTGTTCTCCTCAACTGAAAAACAAATTAAGGGCCAAGCCTGAAAGATTGGTCATTCTGTCCTGTGGGGATGGGGAGAATTTTTAGGACCCGTTATCCCTGGAAAACACAAAACTAAAAGTCTTTGAAAGCTTAGTTGATTTCTTTAAGAACTGAGAATTGAGAAGATTGGATACATCATTTTGATTTAATAAATAATGAAAAATCAAATCCTATTTCTTCTTGTGAATAGCTAAAGAAGGGGAAATAAGACAGGAGAAGAGAAATGAAAGGCAGGGAAATTGAAAGGAATCAATTCCCCACCCAGGGCCCCAGGATCTGGTCTATAAAGGTTCCTACATGGATCCTCAAAGAGTCATAAGGTAACTCCTTTTAGCCCTGGGGAGGCCCCACTGAACGTGCTGAGTAAAAAGGAAACAGGGAGAAGCGAGTTGGGAAGAGCCAGACCCTGAAATATTGCTGAACAGACAAAGATTAATAGGCCTTCAAGTTCCTAACTGTAATATAGCATAAGAATTGTTTTTTATACCCCAGAGAACTCCTTATCAGTTAAATTAAGGAAACTTACATTTAAAATAATTAGTATGAATGTAAATGATCCCAAATAAAGTTTTAAACAAAATAAGCAAACATTCGGGCCACAGAATAAGCAAACTTAATACATAGACATTCACAATTAGAGTATAAGTTCATTCTGAGATGCTTCTTTACTTTGCAGAAAATTCCCTTCCCTGTAGAATTGCTTTTAAAAATGTGATCTCTTTAAGCATTTAAAGTATGATTTCATTCAACTTTTATTACGTAAATTAGGGCCTTCCTGACTAGGTACAGAACCACCTGCATTTAGTTTACATATGATCTCTTTAAAAATTTGGAAATTAGGCACCTGCCCTCCCCAAACACCTTTGCTTACCCCACCTTGTGGAATTGATTCCCTTTGGCTCCTCAGTGAAGGACTGAAAGAAAAGCTCAGCTGCAAGGGAGGAGGGACAGCTTGGGTGGGGCATGGGGGCTTTCCGGCCATTGGTTGGTTTTATGTCTTGGGCCCTCCTTTGCTGAGCCTGCCCTCATTGTAGAGGAGGACTACACCTCTCAAGTTAAATATTATATGTTTTTAAGACGATTTTGCAGGACTAAGACTTCTGCAGAGGTGGTGCCCGCCTGTAATCCCAACACTTCGGGAGGCTGAGGCGGGTGGATCGTTTGAGCCCAGGAGTTTGAGACCAGCCTGTGTAACATGACGAAACCCTGTCTCTACAACAAATACAGAAATTAGCTAGGTGTGGTGGTCCCAGCTACCCGGAAGGCAAAAGTGGAAGGATCTCTTGAGCCTGGGGAGGTGGAGGTTGCAGTGAGCTGTTATCGCACCACTGCACTTCAGCCTGGGCGACAGAGTGAGACCCTGTCGAAAAACAAAGCAAAAGCAAAGAACTCTGCAGGCACTTCTAACAGGCATATCCCTGGAAGCATTACCCACCACTGGACTAGGCACTGGGTAGCCTGTAAAATAAAGTAAGAGATGGCTCTGCACTCAGAAAACTTACTATCATTTTGTGCTGGAAAGACATGCCCTAGAAAACAATGGAAAGCATGACTGTACATGATTCGATGCCAAATGACTGCTAGGAATTCTTTTAGTAATCCGTTCAACAGATATTTATTGAGTAATCACTATTAGCCAGGCACCGTTTTCGGTGCTGAGGAGACAAAAATGAGTGAGACAAGGTCTCTGCCATCAAAAAACGAACAGATAAGTGAGGAAAGACAGATGTGTCAAGAAAGTTTTTGCATAGGCCAAGCCCAGTGGCTCACACCTGTAATCCTAGCACACTAGGAGGCCAAGGTGGGTGGATCATTTGAGGTGGGGCGTTTGAGACCAGCCTGGCCAACATGGCGAAACCCTGTCTCTACTAAAAATACAAAAATTATCCAGGCATGGTGGTGCAGGCCTGTAATCTCAGCTACTCAGGAGGCTGAGGCAGGAGAATTACTTGAACCCAGGAAGTAGAGGTTGCAGTGAGCCGAGATCACACCACCACACTCCAGCCTGGGCGAGCGAGACTCTGTCTCAAAAAAAAAAAAAAGAGAGAGGAGAGAAAGGCTTTGCAGAGCTGGTAACACTTGTCGTGACCTGGAAAGAAAGAAAGAAAGGAAGAAAGAAGGCAAGCTTTCTATGACTCCCTCTAGATAAAACTTAGGATCCCTCCCTGAACTCTGATTATACAATGTTGTTCCTAAATCCTACAGAGCACATACCATCTCCTGCTAGTCTGTGATCTCCTCAAGAACAAGATCTTTTTGTTTTTTCTTAAACAAGATCTTGCTTTGTCACCCAGACTAGAGTGCAACGGCACAATCATGGGTCATTTCAGCTTCTAACCTCTGGGCTCAGGTGATCCTGCTACCTCAGCTTTCTGAGTATCTGGAACCACACGCTTGTACCACCACACCTGGCTAAGTTGTTGTTTTGTTTTGTTTTGTTTTCCTGTGGAGATGGGGGTCTCAATATGTTGCCCAGTCTGTTCTCAAACTCCTGTGCTCAAGCTATCTTCCTGTCTACTATGAAAGTACTGAGATTACAAGTGTGAGCCACTGCTCCTAGCCAGGTTCTCTATGTTGCTTTTCACTGTATCCCCAGGCTCAACACCCACCACAATATTAGACAATCAATAAATATTTGTAAAATAAGTTAAAACAGCCAGGTGTCATGGCTCAAGCCTGTAATTCCAGTACTTTGGGAGACCAAGGCAGGTGGATCACGAGGTCAGGAGTTCGAGACCAGCCTGACCAACATAGTGAAACCCCATCTCTACTTAAAATTCAAAAATTAGCTGGGCATGGTGGTGCACACCTGTAATCCCAGCTACTCAGGAGGCTGAGGCAGGAGAATCACTTGAACCCAGGAGGCAGAGGTTGCAGTGAGCTGAGATCACGCCATTGCCTTCCAGCCTGGGCAACAGAGCAAGGCTCCTTCTCAAAGTAAATAAATAAATAAGTGAAAACAACACTACCACCACAGAATCTGGCTTAGATTATTTGGTACATAAATAAGGACTCCAGTAACCAAAATAAGGACACATATTTCTATTTCCCCAGTTTTGTGTGTGTATGTGTTTGCACATGTACACACGATCCCTCATAGAGCAGATGTGTGTTGTATTCCGGATCTAGAGAAACTCACTTCACCTCTCTGGGCCTCCCACCAGTATTTCCCACCCTAATCCTATCTCATAAGATTATCATGAAAATTAAGTAATTTAATACAGAAGAAAGAACTTAGAAACTAATACTATATGACCTTGCAATTGCGGGGCACTGTAAGATCTTATATTAATTCAGGAAAATAAGACACCAGTGTTGAAAGTAAACCTGCTTACAGATATTTTCAAGCTATTGTCCTGTCTCTCAATATGACCATGAAGTGTCTCTTGCTCGCTCTATCTTATACGTATGTATCCTTTTGTATATTTTTAAATATATATGTAAATCTTATATATATAAGATTTATGTATAAGATAGAACGTATACAAAAATATATGATTACAAAAAGATATATATCACATCTTTTTTTTCTTTTTACCTTATGTATATATGTATGTATTTATTTTAGAGACAGCGTCTCGCTCTGTCATCCAAGCTGGAGTTCAGTAGTAAGATCATACATAGCTCACTGCAGCCTGAAACTCCTGGGTTCAAGTGGTCCTCCTGCCTCAGCCTCCTGAGTAGCTAGGACTATAGGTGTGTGCCGTCACGTCCAGCTAATTTTTACATTTTTATTTGGTAGAGCCAGTGGTCTCACTATGTTGCCTAGGCTGGTTTTGACCTCGTGGCCTCAAGCAATCTTCCCACTTTGGCCTCCCAGATTGTTGGGATACAGGCTTCAGCCACCACACCCCAATAGTTTTTACCTTAAATAAATGCCACTTCTGGGGTTATGTCCAAGCATAATGATGGCACAGATCCTAGTATTCTGTTCAGGTGTAATGATGCCAGCGATCACATCTCTGTTCTCTCACCCTCTCTCTTCCCTTTTTCTTTTCTTATAGAAAATGTGAAATCCCATGTCTTCATCTTCTAAGTGCAGCCCATAGCACTCTTCTCACTTTCCCAAGGGATCCAGATTTCTTTTAAACCCAAATATTGACATAAGCCAACTGCCAAGAGGAAGAGATTTAACTGTACCTCCCCTCAATTAACTGACTTGGGCTCCCTTGTTTGTTTTTTGCCTTATCACATATTTTGATTGATAAGCTCTCTCGAATTATGGATCAGGAAGAATAAAGTGATTTACTCAAAGTCAAAAGCTAGTTAGTGACTTAGCTAATTCTATATCCTGAGTCCCTCACTCCCAGTTTTAAGCTATTTCTGGGCTGTAGGGTTAAACATAAATAAGAGATCTCTCTGTTTCTACAGCATTTTATAGTCTTTCAAAATATTTTTCTATACTTTCACTATCCTCACAATATTCCTGTAAGGTAACCAAATCAGCCACTAATCCTATTTTAGATTTAAAAAAAAAAAAAACTCAAAGAAGACGAGCAATTTGCCTAAAGTCATACAGTTAGTGGAGAGCCAGGATGAGAGGCTAGCTCTGGTCATTTCTGTGGAAGTTGAACCTTATAACTGTCCTAAAGGTGGTAACTCTCCTAAAGCCTAGAGGTTACTCCTGGAAAACAAGGCAGCCTGGAAAAAAACCCATCTGGTATATAAATAGGATATAAGTAATAGATGATTTTATTTTTTTCTGCTTTTGTATCTCCTTCAATTACTGGAAGAAGCAGGTAGAACTAAGGAGAATATAGGGACTTAACAATTTTGGTCTTAATAGAGTAGCTGGCATTTAACTAACCCTCCTGCCAAAAACAACTGCTAATCTCTCATACAGTGTTCTCTCTTTTGTTATCAGTCTTTTTTCTCTGCATCTTTTATTTTGATAGTTTCTATTGCTATGTCTTCAAGTTCACTAATCTTTTCTTCTGCAATGTCTAAGCTGCTAGTAATCCTATCCAGTGTAC